AAAAAAAAAATCAGACAACCTGATCAATATGGGTAAAACATTTAAGAGAACACTTCTCAAATGGCCAGTTAACACATCAATAGATGCTCAGCATCACTAATTATAAAGGAGATATAAACCCAAATAACAGTGAGACACTATTTCACATGCATTAAAATGATTACTATCAAATAAAAACAGATATAAAAAGCATAGGCGAGGGTGTGGAGAAATTGAGGTTCTTACAAACTGCTAATGGAAATACAAAATGGTACAGCTATTGTAAAAAACAGTATGGCATTCCCTAAAAAATTTTAAAAATAGAATTTCCACATGATCTAGTATTCTACTTCTGGGTATATATTGAAAAAAATATTGAAAGCAGAATCTCAAAGAGACATATGTTTACCTGTGTTTATATCAGCGTTATTCACAATAGTTAAAATGTGAGCACAACCTAGGTGACCATAAAGGATGGATATAAAGGTTAGAAACGAACGTTCAAGCCAGGAAAACACTATTATGTGCTGGTAGCTTTCTAAAATAACAGGGTTTGTTAAAAATCAATTCTGTCTTAAACAGGTGTTATTAATCAAAGTTCTCATGTTATTTATCTGCTGAGGTCTTTCTGGTAAAAGTTGTTTTTTAAACCACTGCTGCTTTTCTTTGGAAATCTGGGTTTAGGGAGCTGGATTTTATTCTGATTAAAAATGCTGTATGTGAAACAGCCTCCACCAGGTTGACAGAAATTGCGTGCCAGGTTCTGTACAGAAATACAGTTACAATTAAGCATTAATCAGCCTTCACTTTGCCTAATTCTTCGGTGATAAGCATCAGGTAGCACCAGATACTGACCTCGTTATTTCTATAGACAGCATCTGATGTTAGAACCATAAGGCTTTTGTTTAAGGATCACTTTAGATGATTTTTAGATCCTGAATTCCAGCAACTAGATACCCACAGAGGAATGAGATTAGCATGAGAATACAGATTCCTCATCTTCCTGTCTCATGACTTCACCCTGCACTCTTCAACCAATCTATAGTACCCATACTTGATTCCACTCCAGAACCTTAAACACCCTGGTCCCAGACTCCCTGGGGAGATGAATTTGAGGATTACTCCCAACTCATTTATTGGCTCTAGGATTACACCTTTTTCTGTGTTGTTACCTAGTGTCTCCACATACTGACTTGCTGTGTGCATTGGGCAACAAATCTATTACAATTACATGTGGCGGGTTTGTGCACTTATGAACAGTATTGGAACATGGTACCATAACCAATAGCTGCACATTTCTGTTAATACATTGGGCAGAACTTACCACATAAAACAAGGGGATTCTTTTTTTTTTCTTTGAAACTGAGACTCACTCTCTTGCCCAGGCTGGAGTGCAGTGACATGATCTGGACTTACTGCAGCCTCTGCCTCCTGGGTTCAAGTGATTCTCCTGCCTCTGCCTCCCAAGTAGTTGGGACTGATTACAAGCGTGTGCCACCATGCCCGGCTAATTTTTGTTTTTTTACTAGAAACAGGGTTTCACAATATTGGACAGCCTGATCTCAAACTCCTGACCTTGTGATCCACGCGTCCCAAAGTGCTGGGATTGCAAGCGTGAGCCACCGCGCCGGGCCAGGAGTTCATTTTTTCGTTTGCTTTTAGGTTTGTTTAGGCAGCAGTACTCTTCCGTTGTTCTCAGAAGACATTTGCTGGTAATAGGCCCACCAAATGCCAGGAACATTACATGGTCTTACATGAGACTTTAGGATATTTCTTGATGACTGTAATAATCCATTTGTCTTGCTATAAAGAAAGACCTGAGGCTGAGTAATTTATAAAGAAAATAAATTTATTTTGGTTTGTGGTTCTACAAGATACGTAAGAAGTCTTGTGCCATGAAATGCCTCTGTTGAGGCCTCAGGAAGCTTCCAATTATGGAAGAAAGCCAAAGGGAGCCACCCTGTCACATGGTGAGAGATGGAATAAGAGAGGGGAAAGGTGCTAGGCTGTTTTAAACAATTACCTCTCATGTGAACTCCCAGAGCAAGAACTCAGCACCACAAAAATGGCATCAAGCCATTAATGAGGGATCTGCCCCCATAACCCAAACACCTCCCACCGTGTCCATCTCCAACACTGGGAGTCACATTTTAAAATGAGATTGAGAAGGAACATACATCCACATTATATTGATGCCCTTCTTAATCAAAAGGCCTAAAACGATTTTACTGTGTGTTTCTCTCTTTCTCTGCTCTCTCATCTGCGCTGCCTTTATTCTCTCTTTTTCAGATCATCTTTTTTTATGTGTTTTTTCATGAGTGGTACAGAGCTCCGAAAGGTATGATATTACATAAAACATTTGTGTTTTTGCATTTTATGCACTATTTGGTGGTACAGCATTTGCCTTGATCATAGAAGGCTGTTTCCCTAGTTTTACTGCTGTACAATGGAGAAGTAAAAGTTCATTCCTCCAGAGATTTATAATATTACTTTGCATTTGATATTGCATTTCTGATCTAAACTCTGAATTTTCTATGATGCCCTGAGTTTTTGAAAGCACTGTATATGACAAATAGAATATGCATTTTAAATTGTATAATTATCTGATAATATCTTCTTTGACTTTTTTCAGTCAATGTTTTCTTCCAGCATGTGACTATTGTAGGAGTCTGCCTATTAAAATTCAAATTAGGTAACAAGGTGTAAATTGCCTCATGAATGTTTTTCTTTTTCTTTTGCAAATTGTTCATGTTTATAGCTCTCTCCATTGCTATACTTTCCATGATGCTGAATTTTTATATAGAATTACTGTGCAAATACAAATACAGTAGTTCTTAAGTGAGAAACAGGCACTATTCCATTATGTTGCCTTTGAAATGGAAACTCAACTGGTTAACACCTTAACTAGAGCATAAGAAGCTAATTAGCAATCCCCCTATATTCTGAGTATGAGTTTAATAGAGAAACATAAGTCAGTTTTCAATGTTCTTAATATTACATAATAAAAGTTTTTGATAGAGGCAAGGTGGTAATCTCACTCCTGGGGCTTATAGATGTAGCCTGACTAAGTTGCTTATGAAAATGTGGTTTCTCAGAGCTTTGGGCAAATTTGATTTAAGAAAAGAAGCCAAGGAATTTTTGATACAGCACTGGAGTGACAGGTTAATATTACTGGGAAAAAGAGAGTGGAAATGCACATATTTTCATTTCGTTACTTCAATTTTGTCAATAGGATTGGCACTGTAATTATCTCTAGATTAGTCACAGGCCTATATACTTGCTAAAAGTGAATTAAAGTAAACTGTAACTTGACAGGAAATTTGTTTTAAAAGGTATGACGGGAAGAGGGCAAGAAGTTCAAGCAGTGAAAAAAGTTAAGCATTTTAAAACTTAACTGCTAAAACAATCTTATTTTTCAAAAGATGCTGTTGATAGAGACAGTTACAGATTTCCATTTTGTCAAGATGGGGGAAATCACAGGACCAGGAGTTTCTTTTATGACCAGAGAGATTACCAGTGTCAACACACTAGCCCTACGCAATTTCTAGGGCCTTCCTCCCCAGAGATTATCCCTACCTTGTATTGAGCATCTGGGCTTTAACTTTTCCTAACAGAGAAAAATGAGAAAGTGAAAGCATTCAACATGGAGTAATATGGACAGATTTCCTCCTGCTTCGTTCTTCCATTCATTAATGCATGGCTTAACTTACAGCTGTATTCCATAATCATCCACTGAGTGTGTGCAGCTCTTTAAGTGGGTAAGAAGTGTTTGCCACATTTTGTTTTGTTTTTCTGCTTATTTTTAAACTATATTTTGTTTATCAACAGCAAAAATTCCATGTAAAGGTTTCAATGGAAAAGCAAATAAGAACAAAACAAAACTAGACCAATGCCCAAAGGAAAGAGTATCTTACACTTTTTGGAATAAAACCATTATCTTTAATTTTTTTCCTCCCCATAAATTTTTTCTAAGTTGCTAAGTATTTAGAAAAAAAGATACTTAAGAGAGCATAATCATTACAAAGGCAAAATACCCTGCATAGCTAAGGTATAGAAAGAAACTAGAAAGCATCATTCCTTGAGGAATTTATAACCTACAGCAGCCACAGATACATAATACAGGCATATAAATATCTTAGGGCATGCATAAAACCACAATTCTCCTTTTAGTAACATAGCTCAATAGAATGATTATTTGTACAAGATGTATACGGAGAATTACAGAGGTTGTTATAACAATGTTGTGAGTAACAAATTCTCAAAAATATAGTTAACGTTCAGCAATAGGAGATACACTGAGTAAATGAAGATGTATCCACAAGACGTTAAAAATGAAAAAGTAGAATTCTTATTGGCATGCTAATACATTCACAATATAATACTGTGTGAAAAACACAGCCACAAAATACATTATGGTATAATCGTATTTTTATCAAAGAATATATATAGGTAAAAGCTAAAATTCGCTTATTTGAATTTTTAAAAGTTAAAATTTTATTATACCCTTTTAAAAAATATATATTTCAGACAAATCCACAAATACCCCCTGAACATGTCCCAGGCCACTCGCTGAAACACATCAAACTAAGAATATAAAATCCTGGACTATGAAAATCTATTTTGGGGATTCCAAGATCGCAGAATAGGAGACAGCTCTGGAAAGCAGCTCCCAGCCAGAGAGAAACAGAAGCCAAGTGGTCTCCACAATTCCAAACGAGGTACCAGGTTCATTTTGTGGGTCTGGTCGGACAGTGGGTATAAATCAAATAGGGCAAGTTGAGGCAAGGTGGGGGTCTGTCCCACCCAGGAGGAGTGCACTACCGACCCGAAGACCGGGGTGTCTCCCCCTCTGGGACTTTGTTTCCAATACAGCGCTGTACCCAAGCCCTCTACAACCCACAGGAGATGTTTGCTGGGCTGAAAAGCCTTAGCGAGCTGCCTTAACAGGACAGAACAGCAACTTCACCTGCGCTGGGGCAGTCAGCAGAGATCAAGGCGGAAGCACTGGCTGACGCCCCGGAAGCACTGGCTGACGCCCCGGAAGCACTGGCTGGCACCGAGAAAGCCAAAAAGCCGGTGGGACGGAGCTACCCGCCCCCCAGTAAGAAGGGGATCAGGACGCAGGGAAACAGCCCAAGTGGCAGGACGGGTGTCACTGCCACACAAAGCCCAGCAGGCCAAAAAACTCTCACTCCAGAGTTAGGCAGACAGAACGTCAGTTAGAGAGCCACCAGGAACGCTCCAGCCCGGTGGGCGGAAGGGAAGCCGCCATTACAGAAACCGGCCTAATTTTCCTGAGTAAGTAAAAGTCGATGGGGAGAGATAGCAAGGGAGAAATGCCAGATGTAGGTGATGGGGAGGAAGGCAGTTACCATACTGCCTTGCATGTTCTTCACATGTACCCCAAAACCTAAAATGCAATTAAAAAAAAAAAAAAAGACGCAGCCTCTCCACTGAATCGGTGGCAGCCCAGCAGTGCCTCCGCAGGCAGACAAAGGAAAGGTTGCCTCCTCAAACAGCTACCTGAGATAAAAACTATATAAATCCAAGGGATTTACACCAATAGTGTAAAAGTGTTCCTATTTCTCCTCATCCTTTCCAGCATCTGTTGTCTCCGGCTTTTTTAATAATCACCATTCTAACTGGTGTGAGGTGGTATCTCAATGTGGTTTTGATTTGCATTTCTCTAATGACCAGTGATGATGACCATTTTTTCATGTTTGTTGACCACATCAATATCTTCTTTTGTAAAGTGTCTGCTCATATCCTTTGCCCACTTTTGAATGGGCTTGTTTGTTTTTTTCTTGTAAATCTATTTTAGTTCTTTGTAGATTCTGGATGTTAGCCCTTTGTCAGATGGGTAGATTGCAAAAATTTTTTCCCATTCTGTTGGTTGCCGGTTCACTCTAATGATTGTTCCTTTTGTTGTACAGAAACTCTGGAGTTTAATTAAATCCCATTTGTCTATTTTGGCTTTTGTTGCCAATGCTTTTGGTGTTTTAGTCATGAAGTCCTTGCCTACTCCTATGTCCTGAATGGTTCTGCCTAGGTTTTCTTCTAGGGTTTTTATGGTGTCAGGTCTTATGTTTAAGTCTTTAATCCAGCTGGAGTTAATTTTAGTGTAAAGTGTCAGGAAGGGTTTGAGTTTCTGCTTTCTGCAAACTGCTAGCCAGTTTTCCCAACACCATTTATTAAACAGGGAATCCTTTCTTCATTGCTTGTTTTTGTGAGGTTTGTCAAAGATCAGATGGTTGTAGATGTGTAGCATTGCCTCCAGGGCCTCTGTTCTGTTCCATTGGTCTATATCTCTGTTTTGGTACCAGTACCATGCTGTTTTGAATACTTTACTGTAGCCTTGTAGTATAGTTTGAAATTAGGTAGCATGATGCCTCCCACTTTGTTCTTTTTGCTTTGGATTGTATTGCCTATGTGGGCTCTCTTTTGATTCCATGTGAAGTTTAAGGTGGCTTTTTCCAGTTCTGTGAAGAAGGTCATTGGTAACTTGATGGGGATAGCATTGAATCTATAAATTACTTTGGGTAGTATGGCCATTTTCACAATATTGATTCTTCCAAACCATGAGCAGGGAATGTTTCTCCATTTGTTTGTGTCCTCTCTTATTTCGTTGAGCAGTGGTTTGTAGTTCTCCTTAAAGAGGTCCTTTGCATCCTTTGTTAGTTGTATTCCTAGGTATTTTATTCTCTTTGTAGCAGTTGTGAATGGGAGTTTGCTCATGATTTGGCTCTCTGTTAGTCTGTTATTGGTGTGTAGAAATGCTTATGATTTCTGCACATTGATTTTGTATCCTAAGACTTTGCTGAAGTTGCTTATCAGTTTCAGGAGATTTTGGGCTGAGATGATAGGGTCTTCTAAATATACAATCATGTCATCTGCAAATAGAGACAATTTGACTTCCTCTTTTCCTAATTGAATACACTTTATTGTTTTTTCTTGCCTAATCTCTCTGGTTAGAACTTCCAATACTATATTGAGTAGGAGTGATGAGAAAGGGCCTCCTTGTCTGGTGCCAGATTTCAAAGGGAATGCTTTCAGTTTTTGCCCATTCAGTATGATAGTGGCTGTAGGTTTTTCATAAATAGCTTTTATTGTTTTGAGATATGTTCCTCTGATACCTAGTTCATTGAGAGTTTTTTGCCTAAAAGGCTGTTGAATTTTGTTGAAGGCCTTCTCTGCATCTATTGAGATAATCATGTGGTTTTTGTCTTTGGTTCTGTTTATGTGATGAATTATCTTTATAGTCTTGAGTATGTTGAATGAGCCTTGCATCCCTGGGATGAAGCCTACTTGATTGTGATTGATAAGCTTTTTGATGTGCTGTTGCAATTTGTTTGCCAGTATTTTATTGAAGATTTTTGCATCTATGTTCATCATAGAGATTGATCTGAAGTTTTCATTTTTTGTTGAGTCTCTGCAGAGTTTTGGTATCAGGATGATGATGGTCTCATAAAATGATTTGGGAAGGATTCCCTCTTTTCGTATTCTTTGGAATAGTTTCAGAAGGAGTGGTACCAGCTGCTCTTTGTATGTCTCGTAGAATTCGACTGTGAACCCATCTGGACCTGTACTTTTTTTGGTTGGTAGGCTATTAATTGCTGCCTCAACTTCAGCCCTTCTTATTGGTCTATTCAGGAAATCAGCTTCTTCTTGGTTTAGTCTTGGGAGAGTGCAAGTGTCTAGTAACTTGTCCATTTCCTCCAGATTTACTGGTTTGTGTGCATAAAGTTGTTTATAGTAATCTCTGATCATTTCTATTTCTGTGGAATCAGTGGTGATGTCCCCTTCATCGTTTTTTATTTCATCTATTTGATTCTTCTCTCTTTTCTTTTTTATTAGTCTGGCTAGTGGTCTATTTCGTTGATCTTTTCAAAAAAACCAGCTCCTGGATTTATTGATTTTTGAAGGGTTTTTTGTGTCTCTGTCTCCTTAGGTTCTGCTCTGATCTTAGTTATTTCTTGTCTTCTGGTAGCTTTTGAGCTTTTTTGATTGTCCTCCTATAACTCTTTCAATTTTGAGGATAGGGTGTCAATTTTAGACCTTTCCATGCTCCTCATGTGGGAATTTGTTGCTATGAATTTCCCTCTAGCCACTGCTTTAAATGTGTCCCAGAGATTCTAGTATGTTGTGTCTTCATTCTCATTGGATTCGAAGAACATCTTTATTTCTGCTTTCATTTCATTGTTTAACCAGTCTGTGTTCAGGAGTCAGTTGTTCAGTTTCCATGAAGCTGTGCAGTTCTGAGTTAGTTTCTTAATTCTGAGTTCTAATTTGATTGCCCTGTGGTCTGACAGACTGTTATGATTTTCATTCTTTTGCATTTGCTGAGGAATGATTTACTTCTGATTTTGTGGTCGATTATAGAGTAGGTATGAGGTGGTGTGGAGAAAAATGTGAATTCTGTGGATTTAGGATAGAGGGTTCTGTAAATGTCTATTAGGTCTGCTTGTTCCAGATCTGAGTTCAAGTCCTGAATATCCTTGTCGATTTTCTGTCTCATCGATCTGTCTAATATTGACAGTGGAGTGTTAAATTCTCTGACTGTTACTGTGCAGGAGTTTAAATCTCTTTGTAGGTCATTAAGGACTTGCATTATGTACCTGGGTGCTCCTGTATTGGGTACGTATATATTTAGAATCATTAGCTCTTCTTGTTGCATTGATCCTTTTAACATTATGTAATGCCCTTCTTTGTCTCTTTTGATTTTTGTTGGTTTAAAGTCCATTTTATCAGAGAGTAGGATTGCCACCCCTGCTTTTTTTTTGCTCTCCAGTTGCTTGGTAAATCTTTTTCCATCCCTTTATTTTGAGTCTATGTGTGTCTTTACACATGGGATGGGTTTTCTGAATACAGCACAATGATGGTCCTTGGCTTTTTGTCCAATTTGCCAGTCTGTGTCTTTTGATTGGGGCATTTAGCTTATTTACATTTAAGGTTAATATTTTTTCATGTGAAATTGATCCTGCCATTTTGACACTAGTTGGATGTTTTGCCCATTAGTTGATGCATTTTTTTCATTGTGTTGATGGGGTTACTATTTGCTACATTTTTGGAGTGACTGGTACTGATTTTTCCTTTCTGTGTTTAGCTCTTCCTTCAGGAGCTCTTGCAGGGCAGGTCTGGTAGTGATAAAATCCCTAAACAATTGCTTGTCCGTAAAGGATTTTCTTTCTCCTTCACTTATGAAGCTTAGTTTGGCTGGATATGAAATTCTAGGTTGAAAGTTCTTTACTTTAAGGATGTTGAATATTGGCACCTACTCTCTTCCAGCTTGTCGGGTTTCTGCCGAGAGATCCACTGTGAGTCTGATGTGCTTCCCTTTGTGGGTGACCTGACCTTTCTCTCTGGCTGCACTTAGTATTTTTTCCTTTGTTTTAACCCTGGTGAACTTGCCGATTATGTGCCTTGGGTTGCTCTTCTAGTGGAGTATCATTGTGGTGTTCTCTGTATTTTCCTGTATTTGAATGTTGGCTTCCCTTGCTAGGTTGGGGAAGTTGTCCTGGATAATATCCTGAAGAGTGTTTTCCAGCTTGGATTCAGTCTCCCTGTGACACAGACACATTCAGCTACACCTGTCAAACATAGTTTTGGTCTTTTTGCATAATCTCATATTTCCTGAAGGCTTTGTTCATTTCTTTTCACTCTTTGTTCTCTTTTCTTGCCTTCTCATTTTATTTCATTGATTTGATCTCCAGTCTCTGATATCCTTTCTTCTGCTTGATCTATTTGGCTATTGAAACTTGTGTATGCTTCATGAAGTTTTTGTGCTGTGTTTTTCAGCTCCATAAAGTCATTTATGTTCTTCTCTAAGCTGGTTATTCTAGTTAGCATTTCATCTAACCTTTTTTCAAGGTTTTTAGTTTCTTTGCATTGGGATAGAACATGTTCCTTTAACTCAGAGAAGTTTGTTATTACCCACCTTCTGAAGCCTGCTTCTTCTTGCACTGGTTTCTTCCCATCTTAATGGCTTTATCTACCTGTGGTCTTTGTAGTTGGTCACTTTTGAATGGGGTCTCTTAGTGGACATCCTTTTTGTTGATGATGAAGTAATTTCTTTCTGTTTCTTAGTTTTCCTTGTAATAGTCAGGCCCCTCTGCTGCAGGACTGCTGGAGTTCCACTCCAGACCCTGCTTGCCTGGGGATCACCCATGGGGGCTGCAGGATAGTAAGGGTTGCTGCTGGTTTCTTCTTCTGTTATCTTTGTCCTAGAAGGGTGCCTGCCAGATGTCAGCCTGAGCTCTCCTTTATGAGGTGTCTCTTTGGGTATACGGGGCTGGGGAGGTGCTTGAGGAGACAGTCTGTCCCTTATAGGAGCTCAGGTGCTGTGCTGGGAGCTCTGTTGTTCCATGCAGAGTTGCTGAGCAGGTACTTTTAAGTCTGCTGCAACAGAACTCATAACCGCCTCTTTTCCCAGGTGTGCTGTCCTAGGAAGGTTGGCTTTATTTATAAGTTCCTGTCATGTTGTTGCCCTTTTTCACAGATGCCCTGCCCCTCACGGAGTAGTCTAGTCACAGTCTGCCAGTGGAGTTGTTGCTGAGCTGCTACAGGCTCTGCCCTGCTGCTGTGTGAACTGCCTCGGTAGTGGCGGACTGCCTCGGCGGTGGTGGTTGCCCTTCCCACTACTGAGCTGGAGCATCCTGGATCCAGCTGCACTTGCTGTGAAACTCTCAATCCAGAGCGTTTCAGATTGCTTGTTTTGTGGAGGTGGCACCCACTGAGTCAGATTGCCTGGCTCCCTGTCTCAGCCCCCTCCCTTTCAGCTGAAAGGGCAGCTCTGTCTCCCAGATGTTCCTGGTGCCAGTTGAAATGACCACCCAGATTTGTGTGAGTTTTGGTGTGCCAACCTGGCACTGGCTGAAACCACCATGCTGAAAACCCATGGCGCTTTTTGGCCTGGGAATCTCCTGGTCTATGGGCAGAGAAAACTTGTTTGGAAATGCAGTGAACACTCACCCTCTGCATTGTTCTTGCTGGGAACTGCACTCCAGAACTGTTCCTATTTGGCCATCTGGGATCCTCCTGATGTATATTTTTTGAAATAAATTTTGTTGATTACTCTTTTATCAGATGTATGGTTTCCAAATATATTTTTCCAATCCATGGATTTTCTTCTTTGTTATAATTGTTTCTTTGCCACTCAGAAGATTTTTTTTCGTTTTGTTTTTTGTTTTATTTTGATAAAGTTCCATATATTGTTTTTGTAACCTGAAATTTTAGTGTGGTATTTAAGATATCACTACCAAGACCAATATCAATAAGTTTATATATATATATAAATTTAAAATTTCCCATATATATAATTATGAAGCACAAGTTCATTATACACTTTAATTCCATATTTGAAAGCTGTTTGATTTTGCCACACGTGCATCCTATTCTAAGTTCAGCCCCTTACCATTGCTTTACAATGTTGCATTTCTGTGGTTAATGTTAATTATTTTTAATTGATTGCTTTCAACTTTAATTTATTCTCATTAGCCAAATTGGTGTTGTATTGCAAACTTACCTTTCCACATTTCTTATATTTTATACTTTATTTAGATATGAGAAACCAAGCAAAAATCTAGTGAATTATACAGCATTTTCACACTTAACCTCCCTCTAAAGAGGTTCACACATTTAAAGCAATGAACAAACATAAATGCAAAAAAAATCCCGTACCCTACACACATACATTAAATTGAATATCCATTTTTAATGGTGGTGTCCCATAACATAGAGGTTTCAACACAGAAAAAAAATCAAGTGCATAGAGAGATAATTTCCCATTTGCTGCTACAAAAAACTCAGTCCTTTCACACTTGCTGCAAGCAATTGCATGGCTGACTAGGTCCTGTGAAATCTTTTGCACTAAAGCATTCCTCTGTGGTACAAAGATGACTCAAATCATGCCCAGGTAAATAGGGAAAGAAGCCAAGAGAATCTATATTTTTTAGTAATAATTGAAAATACTATTAAGACCAAGAAAAAAATTATTAGACTATGCTATTATTTGTAGCATGCACATGACAGAAAACACATTTTTAAAGGAGACACTCTAGGAAATGAAGATATTTGCATAGAATTGCATTCTCATAAAAATTTTTACTGAACCCTATGAAATAAGTAAAAGGAGAATTAGAAAAGATTCAGAATTCACTTAAAAGACAAATACAGTCATGTGCTATATCATATTATATACATAATATTATGTGTCATTATGCTAGTCAATGATGAACTGCATATATGATGGTGGTCTTATGAGATTATAAAGGTGCTGAAAAATTCCTGTGACCTAGTGACTTCATACCTCTTAAGATATTGTAGTGTTAGGGGTGATAAATACATGAGTAACTGGCAGCAAACCTATATGGTTTTGCAGCAACCTCAATTCTTGCCTTTTCAGAAGAAAGAATATACCTGATGAGCACAAGTCAGAAAAAGAAATAGAGGCAAGTGTTAGAGCAGGAGTGGAAGTTTATTGAAAAGCTCTAGATTAGGGGAAAAAAAAGGAAAGGAAAATAAACTTGCCAGGGGGGTTGGTTCAAGTGGACAACTTGAAGGACAAGTATGGCGTTTCATCTTTTGACTTTGGGTTCTATATGTTGGCATGCTTCTGGGGTCTTTAATCTCTTTCCCTTGATTTTTTCCCTTAGGGAGAGCAGTCCACATGTGCGGTGACCTGCTGACACTTGGCAGGTGAACATGCACAGTTTATTTACTGGGGTTGTACAGATGTTCACCTGAGGTTTTCTTCCCTTTTCCAGTGGAATGCCCCTGGTAAGTCATGTTCTACCACTTTGCCTCTTAATGTACAAGCTCGAGCCAACTTGCTCACTTTCTGAGATGGCATTGGAAGCGGTTGATTACCAATTTCAGGTGCTTTTATCTATTGAGAAATTGCCTTCCCCTGGCACAAGCTGTGACCAATTATTATTTTAGAAAGCCAGTGTAATCACTGCCAGACCATCACTTGATGGTTGCCTGACATTCCCAGCGGGGTGGAGGCGGGTAGCCCTCTCCTGCCTTGCTCATGTCTGAGTCACTACCTACTGTAACAATAGCACAATGCATTAATCGGTTGTTTGTAGTGATGATGTTATAAACCTACTGCACTGAAAGTCATATAACAGTGTAGCACATACAATTATGTACAGTACATAATACTTGATACTGTTAATCAACTACGTTGCTGCTTTTTGTATGTACTATACTATACTTTTTAATCATTATTTTAGAGTGTGTTCTTTCTGCCTACTAAAAAAAATGAAGTTAAGTAAAACAGTTTCAGGCAGGTCCTTTAAAAGATATTCCAAAAGAAACTATTGCTATCATAAAAGATGACAGCTCCATGCATGTCATTACCCTAAAGGCCTTCCAGCGGGCAAGATATGGAGGTGGAAGACAGTTATTTTGATGATAATAACCCTGTTCAGACATAGGCTAATGTGTGTTGTAGTGTGTTCATTTTAACAAAATGTTTAAAAAGATAAGAAAATATTCAGCTGTACAATGTGTTTTAAGCTGTTATCACAAAATACTCAAAAAGTTTTAAAAGTTAAAAATGTATATGCCATGTATGTACCTATGTAACAATCCTGCATGATCTGCACATGTACCCCAGAACCTAAAGTACAATTAAGAAAAAAATATATATATACACACATATAAAAGTATAGGCTAAAAATGTCATAGTAAGCTAATTATTAAAGAAATAAAAATTACTTTTAAATAAACTCAGTGTAGCCATAGTGTAGTGTTTATAAAGTCTAGAATAGTGTACATTAATATTGTAGACCTTCACATTCTCTCACCATTCACTCAGTACTCACCTAGAGCAATTTCCAGTCCTACAAAAGGTCCATTAATGGAGAGTGCCCTATACAGGTGTACTGTTTTCTATCTTTTATACCATATTTTACTGTACATTTTTTATGTTGAAATATGTTTGGATATGCAAACATCATTTTATTACAGTTGCCTGCAATATTCAGTACAGTAACATGCTGCATAGATTTGTTGGCTAGGAGCAAAAGGCTGTACTATATAACCTAGGTGTGTAGGAGGCTATACCAGCTAGGTTGCAGTAAGGACACTCCATCATGTTTGCACAACAAAATTTCCTAATAATGATGCCTTTTGCAGAATGTAACCCTGTTGTTAATCAATACACGACTATATCAATACTACTGGGAGTAAATTCACAACAAATGATGAAAACAGCTGAAATTAAATACACTGTAACAAGAAGTAAATTAATAAAAAGTAAGATAATTTACATGGAGACTAGATGGGGTGATCCTATTAGATTGGTAACAGGTGTGACTGAAGAAATGCACTAATGAGAAAATCAGAAAAAGCATTTGAAAATTTGAAAGAATGTTTCATTAAAATGAAGGAAAATCAAATCTGTGGATTACACATCAACCTAAAGAGACAAAATAATTAAAAATCTCCTACCAAATATATCTTGGTGAAGATGCTGAATCTCAAAGATTTTAAAAGTCAGATACAAATTCAGGTGGGAAAAAAAAACAACCAACCAACCAAACAAACAAACATAAAAACAGATTGCTAACAAATAGCCAAAACATGAGGCTCAGCTTGAACATCATTAGGTGCATGTAATTTTCATCAGCTGATTTCAGTACAGAAAGTTTGACATAGCCTTTTCACATTTACCTTTTGGCAGCGGGACATGCTGGTTTAAGTTAGAACTAAAATTAACTTAGTGTTAATTATTTGTACATTTTTAAATAATATATAGAACACCTAGAGATGTTTGAGGTTTTTTTAATATGCTCTGATAGTTTTTTGTTAGTCTTTTAGATCAAAAATACTGTTGTTGTTGCTTTAATCCTGTCACTTAGACATCATTCCAAAAATTGTTAAGTTCAAGTATAGTGTTAAATTTAATTTAAATTTTATTTTGCATTTACTTTGATTTATTAAATCCAGATCTTCTGCAACAGCATTTATTTACACAATTTTCTCTGCAATTAAGTGTTCCTTTTTTAAACTAAAGAACAGTCACATTCTTCATATGTTGAAATTCCACTGACAGCATGTAGGGCATAAATTGATCTCAGTCAAATTAGTATTAAAAATTTACTACATAATATAATTATGAGGGATATATATTTTATCTTCTACGAATAATGCCGAAGTTTTTATTAGAGTTTTCCATGCTATTTAACTGCTGCATATATGAAACAGATTGAGTTTAAAGCTGGTGGAAAGCATGCTATATAACAGCTGCGTATATGAAACAGACTGGTTTGAATGCATCTCCCAAAAAGCGTGTATTGGAAACAACGTGATAGTGTTGGGAAGTGGGGGCTACTAGTTGGTGTTTAGGTGATGATAGCTACCCTTACAAATGAATTAATACTGGTTATAAAACGGCTTGAAGTTGTGAGTTTGATATTTTGGTCTTTCTTGCCCTTTTGCTTTCTGCCATGGGATGATGCAGCAAGCCCTTACAGGTGCCAGCCTTTTGTTCTTGGACTTCCCAGACTCCAGAAGGTTAATAAATAAATTTTTGTTCATTATAAATTATGAAATCTCAGGTATTCTATTAAAGCAGCACACAAAAGACTAAGATAATCTCGCTGCCATATTAGTTACTGAGATACATTTTGACCATATCTATTTATCCTAGTTTGCAAAATTAATATTAAAAAATCTAAGCAACTAATATGTGTATTTTAGATGACTGACAGTATTATTCAATAATTACACACTGCACTCTCTATGAGGATGCATCGGAATCCTTTTTTCCTTGATTTCAATAATAGAGTGATATTACTGAGCAATATTTTATTTGTATTAATACATTGCTAATCATATTCCCAATTATAAAACTCTTTCTCTTGGTTACTTGGATTTTATAGCCAAGTTTATGATAACGTGTGGCATTTTCTTGTCCTAAATGTTTTCTCCTTATTTCCTTTTTTTCAAAATTTATTTATGTAAGATGCCTAATTTTTCACATAATTTTTGATCACTTTGTCTCTGGTTTACACATATCTCTGTAGATAAACCTTATTTAGGAGTAAGATACACTTTAATAGTGATACATATAAATAGATAGAAATTCAAGCCATACGAAATTAAATATAAAATAAGATATAAATGACATTGAAATGTGATACATCAGTGCAGACTGTTCAAGTGGTTAGAAAAGACTTCATGAAGGAGGTCAGTTTTAAGCTTGAATTTGAGTGAATTATGAGCTTTTTATAGAAAAAGGAGTCGGAAGAGTATTTTTGCATTAGAAAAGAATGCATGGAAAACACAAAGCTGTAAAGGCATAATTGAGGATTAAATAGATCATTCTACAGTAACAAAATTTCCTGTAAGGAGAGTTATAAAGTTAAAACAGGCACTGGGACAAGAAAATGTAAAGTTAAATTAATAGCTAAGAACTTTACCCTGGTGACACATGGGTGTCATTGACAGTTGACAGAAGGGAAATTAACATTAATAAAACTAGTTTTAAAAAATTATTGGCAATAACTTGTAGAATTAATTGGAAAAGAGAAAAGAGGTAAGGAGAGCCATTAAGAAATTGTTGTAATAGTTCAGTCACAATATCTCACACAGAATATAGATGTTTAACAAATGGTTATCAAATAAATTAATGGCTGAAATAATGAATAAATAAGAGGAAAAAGGAAATTCACTTTACTAAAATGGATGTGAAAGTAATGATGAAAAAAATGATTAAAAACAACAATGATTAAAAAATGATATTTTGAACAGAATTGTAAACCAATAGCAAAACAAAATGTAAAAGAGATTAGAAATTCAGATAGCTGTATTTCTCAGCACTGAACATCTCAGTACTCTTTGCAAAAATAAAGAAGGCAACAAGAGTAACACCTTTAGTAAAGACGATTATTTTGATTTTTTTTTTTTTTTTTGAGGCGGAGTTTCACTCTTGTTACCCAGGCTGGAGTGCAATGGTGCGATCTCGGCTCACTGCAACCTCCGCCTCCTGGGTTCAGGCAATTCTTCTGCCTCAGCCTCCTGAGTAGCTGGGATTACAGGCACGCGCCACCATGCCCAGCTAATTTTTTGTATTTTTAGTAGAGATGGGGTTTCACCATGTTGACCAGGATGGTCTCGATCTCTTGACCTCGTGACCCACCCGCCTCCGCCTCCCAAAGTGCTGGGATTACAGGCTTGAACCACCGCGCCCGGCCTTGATTTTTAATAAGAATGAATTTGCGATGAAAAAATTTGAGGTGGAAATTTTAAAGTTATATTTAGAATGCAAGATTATAAGGCAGAGGGTTCATTTAATTTACTGATTTATATCAAACACTTAGAAAAGTGCATGGCAGAGTAAGCACTTGATATACATTTCTTAAATGGAATTTAAATGTTTAGGCAAATGTGATTGAAGGTTATAAGAAACACTGCTGATAGTTATATATATCATATTCAGCAAAACAATATTAAAGGAGTTGCTGGAGATATACATAAAGTAATGTGGTAATGCTCTATGTTAAATGTGCTTTTTACCTGGAATTTACTGTAGCCTTATCGGATTATCTTTTCAAATATTTTCAGTAATATTTGAGCAGAGATTGAGTTCACTATCAACCATACCAAAAAATCACCCCTTGTGTTTACATAAAAATGGACTTTATATCTTGTACTTTATTGGGAGGTTGTGGCATATAATGTGTGTAACTGTTTCTCCTAGTTTAAAAATATTTTGGTATCTCTTATGTCATGTGGCCTTTTCTTAGAAGCATGATATAAACTGAGAAGATATATTAAGAGCAAAGAGTCATTAAATTTGTGTGGAAAGTTTCTCTTCCTACCACTGTTAAATAAAATTAGTTCATTGACTGTATTAGTTTTTTTTAGTACTTACTATATTACTGGAAAAAATTGATATAAACACTAACAGTACTATAGTTGTGTGCAGATGTGTGGAACAAAAGCAGAAAGTATATTCTTGGATTTGGAGTGCACAATTCTGTAACTGTCTATTAGGTGTGCTTGGCCAGATCTGGGTTCAAGTCTTGGATATCCTTGTGAATTTTCTGTCTTGTTGATCTGTCTAATATTGATAGTGAAGAGTTAAAGTCTCCCAGTACTATTGTGTGGGAATCTAAGTCTCTTTGTAGGTCATTAACAACTTGTTTTATGTATCTGGGTGCTCCTGTATTGGGTGCATATATATTTAGGATCATTAGCTCTTCTTGTTGCATTGATCCTTTTACCATTATGTAACTCTTTATCCAATTTGCCAGTCTGTGTCTTTTGATTGGGGCATTTAGCTCATTTGAATTTAAGGTTAATATTGTTATGTGTGAATTTGATTCTGCCATTTTGATGCAAGCTGGTTGTTTTGCCTGTTAGTTGATGCGGTTTCTTCATAGTGTTGATAGTCTTTACCACTGGGTATGTTCTTGATGTGGCTGGTACTGGTTGTTTCTTTCCACATTTACTGATTCCTTCAAGAGCTCTTATAAGGCTGTCCTGGTGGTGATAAAATTTCTCAGCTATTGCTTGTCTGTAAAGGATTTTATTTCTCCTTCACTTATGAAGCTTGGTTTGGCTGGCTATGAGATTCTGGGTTGAAAATCATTTTCTTTAAGGATGTAGACAGGATAAGGAAAATGTGGCAAATATACACCATGGAATACTATGCAGCCATAAAAAGGGATGAGTTCATGTGCTTTGCAGGGACATGGATGAAGCTTGAAACCATCATTTTCAGCAAACTGACACAAGAACAGAAAACCAAACACTGCATGTTCTCACACGTAAGTGGGTATTGAACAAGGAGAACACATGGACACAGGGAGGGAAAGGTCATACACAGGGCCTGTTGGGTGATGTAGGGGCTAGTGTAGGGATAGCAGAGGGTGGGGACATTAGGGAAGGATAACATTCGGAGAAATACTGAATGTAGATGACGGGAGGATGGATTCAGCAAACCACCAAGGTACCTGTATAACTATGTAACAAACCTGCACATTCTGCACATGTACCCCAGAACTTAAAGTATATTTTAAAAAAGTAGAAAGTAAAGGGATAATTTTATTTCATCAAAAATAATAAATATTAGCAAATGTTCTTTTCTTGCTCTTTCTAATAATAACCAACATCTGATTTGTGAAATATTCATGAGGTCTATAAATTAGGATGGTTTTATATTTATACTCTTAGAAATTAGGAAAAAAAAAGGGATGATCTGATACTGCCACCATTGTATTTATAATGTAAATTTAAAATTACATACTAAATTATTTTCCATGATAGTTGATTTTTATTTGTTTGTTTTAATTTACATTCAATTGATTAAATTATTTAAAACGTATGGTATTGAGTTTTTCCAGTGATATTTTCATCAATATTAGGTAAAATCCAAACAGTACAGATTCTTCTTGTCTAAATAAATCCCTTAATTTTATGAGGGAGTTGTCTATTCTTTTTTTTATGGGCTGGTTTCTTTCTCAACTTGTTTAATATAGCAATGTAAGAACAAAAGTGTTGTTTTAAAAGTCTCATATCCCATTTATAATGATCAACATTTTTATTTTTTATGTCTTAATTTTCATTTTAACATTGAAAAAATCAAACCAGAGGAGAGCATGAACACAGTCCTCCACTACCACCAATTATGCAGTCGAGTTTCCTACATTTAGGGAAATCACAGGGGTCAGCACATCCAGAGTGCAATGGATAAGCCCTCACGAAAAAAAGCACCTTTGTGTTCATGGTATGTCCCCTTCCAGTTAAGCATAAAAATCAACATTTTAATTAAAAACTTTCCTAAGTCAGGATAGAGCCTGGAAACAATAGTCAAATGAAAAAGAAAATTTAAAAATGGAAGGAATATATACTATCAATAGAACTATCAAATAAATACTTAACATCCTCTTATATCAGCATGACTTTACTCTTTCTAAAGTTCCTAGTTGCATAAGCCACATTACAATTATTTCCACTATGTATAATAATTGTTTGCAGTGGTATAAATCCATGATTTGTTTCATGACCCAAACAAAAAAGAAATTGTCGAGAAGAAGACAAACACTGTGTGGCCTTCAGATACTAACAAAAATTATTTCAGGATCATTTTACCTTTCATAAAATAAAATCAGAGAAGTCTAAATTGCTAACCCTCTTAACCATCATTTCTTAACTCTTAAATTGTTGTTCTACTTAATATTCAGTGTTCACTTAAGTCAGAAATGCAAGTAGATATTTCCCTTTTATCATCTGTGCTTATAATGATATTAATAACTTTTGTTTCATTTTTAACATTTTATGTGATTTATTCAAATTCTTAATGCTTAATCTACTTCTCTTAAAAACCAAACTAAAACATAAGTTTTCATAAAATGATACATATAAATAAGAGTTTACCTTTATTAGAACATTAATAAAAATGGTGCCTACAGCACCCATCAGGCCTCTGTGTCTGAGGATTGTTTCCCTTATTCCTAAAATCATTGTCATCTAGCTAACTCTTACTCATCTGGACTGTATTTTTTTCTGTTGGTTAAGTAGGGAACTACATTGCCTAGAATCCATTTTTTGTTGGGTTCTTGATTAGAGTTGACCTAAAGAGAAACTTGTGGAAGATTTGAGAAGAAGTGAGGTAACCACCATTACCCTCTGAGTGAGTTTTTCTGGTCACAATGATGGTAGAGAGGCCCAGGGGTACCTGGTAGATGTCAGATTGTTTTTGAGCTCCTCCACTTTATGTCCATCTTGTTTATCCAATTGCTAATAATCTGACAAGCAGCCATGGCCCCAGACCAAAAGAAAGGCAAAGGTTATACAACAATAATAGCTTCCTCTCAAATTCTTCAGGAATTTCCCTTCACAGTCTTCTTATGCAATTGGATTTTCTTAGTTTTTCCTTTGCAGGTTTTGACTAGCCCGCCCATGAAAGTATTTTAGGCAGAAGCTAGTGGCTTGTTTTCTGATTGCCTAACTCTACTCCTCCAATCTTCAATTCTCACATCTACCCCCACAACTCTAAGGTAAATCCTATTGAGAGAGGAGAATATGGTCTGGAGGCAAAGAATCTAAGGCTGATGTGCACTGACTCCCTAAAACTGAATCAAAAGAAAAACCTCACCTCTCCACATCCAAGTAACAAAAGGATCAGAGGCTACTTCCTTTAAAACACCTTCATCCTATTCCTCTGCATCACAGATGAAAAATGGAAATCACCTCTGATTGACCCTCTCCCTCAACCAATCAGACTGGTCATGGGCCAAGTCTTCATTTGCATGCAGTATAACTTTGTAACTTCACTTCAGCCTCTGATTGGTTGCCTGCTATGATTAATCAGACTGGTTGCAGGCTAAGTCTTCATTTACATAGGATAGGATGCAACCAAGTAACCCAAGGGAAACCTCTAGAGGGTATTTAAACCCTAGAAAATTCTGTAACCAGCGCTCTTGAGCTGCTTGCTTGAGCCTACTCCCATTCTGTGGAGTGCACTTTTATTTCGATAAATCTGTGCTTTTTTTGTTTCATTCTTTTATTGCTTTGTGTGTTTTGTCAGACTTTTTGTTCAAAATGCCAAGAACCTTGATGGTCAAGATCCTCCACCAGTAATATTATAAAGACTCTGCTTCCTTGTCTGAACTCCAACTGATAAATTCTCTTTCAGATTTTGGCTCCATGTCACTTTGCTAGAAAAGTTTTATAGGAAAATGTTTACTTAGTTACTGTCTTCTTTCATGTCTCCTGGACTAGATCAGGTAATCTCCTACCTAGTCCTAGAACTCCCAGCATCCCTGCACTTTGCTTCCAAATCAATTATTTTGAATTATATTTGTCTACTGATCTATCCATCTATACATTTACATGTGATTAATGTCTGTTTTTAAATAACAAATCTATGGCAACAGAAAAATGTCTGATATTTTCATCATTATGTATACAACTTCTATCACAGTGCCTGGTGCAGAGCATGCATTCAATATACATTGCGTAGTAAATGAATAAGCATAGGATTCTGTTTTACACACATTTTCTTTAAGCAAATATGAAATAATATGTTACTTTAGTTCACCACCTATTCAACAGAACATTAAAAAACATCTTAGATTAAAACATCTTGTACTCTGCCACATAATTGATATGAATGAACACTGTCAAATAATGTATACATTAAGAAAAAGACATACACGCATTTAAATAAAAACTGTTACAGTCCAAAATTATAATACACAATCTGCTTATCTGAATCTACACTCTATGGATTTACTCTCTTTCTTATATTTAGGTATACATTTTTTGAATTTTGTTCAAAACTAATAAAACTTTTACTATTAATAGTTTCTCAGTATCAACAGTGACATCAGACTAACCATCATTTCCTTTTCTTACTTATTTTGAATTACTATAGATGACCACTGATTTGACCGATAATACACAATCTACTGTACAATTTGCTATCCCATATATTAAGCTATATGTGAAGTTAAACTTACACTAAATTCAGATATATTTTATTTCATGTCCTCCATTTAAAACTTACTGAAAAACTAACAAAGTTAACTAATTTAGCCATACTGTTTTCCACTCTGTTTAATAAGGAGCTTACCAGAGGTGGTCCTATTGAGTTTCAACAACTCATGAGCTTCTTAGAACTGCTTTTGTGTCTTAAAATGTGATTTTATTTTTAACCTAATCTTGCCATCTTTTTTTTGTTCAACTATTTCAAACAATATCACAGCTCCTAGGTGGGATCAAATACTTTTCTACATACGTGGTTGATTATAGATCTATAGTCAATTATACAAATATGGCTCAACTTGATTGAAGAAACAGCATTGGCTCGCTGTGAGTGGTGGCATGTGCCTATGGTCCCAGCTACTTGGGAGGCTGAAGTGGGAAAATTGCTTGAGTCCATGGGTCTAAATCTAGCCTTGGCAACATAGTAAGACACCATCTCTTTTAAACGACAAAACAAAACAAAAACAAAAGCAAAAGCCTGAATTGGTATAATTGTATTACATTTGAAAAAAATATTGAAAGTGCAAGCTTTTTTTTTTCTTCAACAGAAACTTCATTGTAATGGGTACATCAGTGTAGCTACACAGGTTGCGGCACACAGACTGTCCTACAAAACTTTAGCAGTACCATATGTTTAGTCTGAAACATGAATGATGCACTTCAAAGTTCTACAGGTGCTCTAAAAATACAATCATATCAGTGGAAATTTCTGATATTATTGTCAATGAAACTCTAATACATTTTTCTCTCATGAAACATATATCAATAAAAACTGTTGATTAAAAGCATCTGGGTTGTTGAAAAGGTTTAACATTTGTATATTTATAGTAGTATATTACAATGACAGAAATCTAGCTCAGTTTCTTTAAACAAATCACAAGCTTGCATAGTAGATGTAATAATCTATCAGTAAGAGTCATGAAGACAAAAAATACTAGAGCTATTTCAAATAGAAAGGATTTGACACTGGGAATTGGAGGTCTGCATAATTGCTGAAAGGGCTAGAATAGTGAAGATCGGGGAACTTCTAGTAAACCTTACAAAACCAAGAATAGAGGAATGGCAGAAAATTAGCACCGATGTTCTCAACTGCCTATCATATTAGACTAGATGGTTCTCAGGAGGATATGTGGAAGGTTCTGGCAAGGACTCATGGCAGCTGACATTTGCCAAAGTCACATGCCTTCTCAGAGCTATTGATTAAAGAATGATTATTTCTACCTTACTTCTATCTCCAAAATATTTTGTAATTAACTTTCATTGATGGGATCTAACTGTAGTGACAAGAGATAATGGGAAATTCAGTTTCTAAATTCTAATTCCTGTCATACATAAGAAAAGCCTAAAAAAGAGTTGCTGGATCTAAAATAGTGTTTGTTTTTGACATAGAAATCTATTTAGATGCATTTTACCTGTTTAAATCCTAACCCAATGTCTAATATTTCATTCTAATATTCTTTTTTTTTTTTTTGTCTATTGGTAACTATTTAGCTCTTCTAAAAGTGGCATTATGTAGTTTTATTTTGTAATGCATATACCTTTTAATTCTTAAATAATAACCAACTTTTCTAATTATTTTCTTGAAGGAAAGTTACAATACATATACATATACAGCCTTGAAGGAGCATGTGTGAAAAACATCTGAAAAAAAATTAAGTTTCTGGACAGATGTTATAAGAGTCTCGTAGAAAAAGCTATCAGCATTACAATCCCAATTCTAATTTACTTTACATCAGGCATTTAAATTTATTATCTTTAGGCCATATGTTCCAAATGAAGCTTGGTTCTATATTCATGAATCAGTTGACAATGAATAGTTAAGTTCTGCTAATTCAGAAAGGTGAAGTTGAGTGAGCTTATTTAAATGGCAGAATATTTGTAACTACAAATTCTGCATACCGTCGGAAGACTTCCAAAAAAGACCTGCCATATGTTTTAAACCATGATAGAAGTCATTCTTTAAAAAACTCTGAAACTTTTATGCGGCTACACTGAGAATATCTTAGCATTTCTATTAAAATTCTATTTTGAGAGTTTTAAATTTGCCTATGAAATTTATTGTAGACTGAAATTTAGCATGCGAAACCTAAGAGACTATTAAGTAACAGAATATATTAAAATAAGTAAATGATTTTAACATTTCACATATCTTTAATACCTTAGCAATAGAGTCAGATTTCACTTACTAAGAAAATTGTGTCCCATAGACTATTGGTACCTCATTTAGGTATCATAATAATCTGTACCAGCATATCCAGTCAC